ATGCACTTTTTTATTTAGCGTTCACGTGGTGTGCAATTCTTTTGTCTACGAGATTTTATTCTATTTTTAAAACTTTAAGTATTTAAAATGGATTAAAAATCATGTTTATAGCCCGAGTTCCCATCCCCTATTATTTTATATAAAAATATTCGAGAAAGTTTAGGGGAGATCACTCCCGGTTTATTTTTGGTTGTAGTGCTTGTATATATATATATATATATATATATATATATATATATATATATATATATATATATATATATATATATATATATATATATATATATATGAATACACGTATATAGAACGTATTAAAAATTCGGCGCCTTTTTTTGCTCTTTTCGCTCCCCCTACATCGAAAACCTGGATACGCCTCTGGCCAGAAGTTACACTCTATGTAGAGGTTAATTCTCGATACCTGTATCGTATGTATTATGATACTGGTACACAATACCCCTAATCAAAACTGATTGTTCTTGTTCTGTAGTTATTTTCGGTTATTAGTATACCATAATAATCTATTTCCGCTGTTATGTCATTAGTAGTACTTTTCTTTTTTATCATTGAACTTTCTACATTGTTTACTCAGTCTAAGCCTATTAAAAAAAATAAAAACATAATAGTGAAGATTTTTACCTCGAATCTGTACTTCTTAAGTCTTGACTATTTTAATGTTTACTGTAATAAATCCCCTCATTTCTAGTATAAATAGAAAGGCTCTCAGACTTTAGTATCGTGCATCGATCCCTACGCAAACTTATCTGCTATTTGATCAGCCGAAGAGGAAGAAATAAGATATCTAAGGTGCAACTATGTGATAAAATAAAATGCTTTTAGAACAATGTTATTAAAATAAAGCTCTGTAATTTATTTTAAGCGAAGCGCAATTTCAGTACTTAAATTTAGACGTGAATTTTTAATTATCTCCCGTTTAAATTCATTTGGATTTTATGGATGTCTCTTTTAAATATCAAATCAACTTTGTTTTAGTCGATTGGGTGATCAATTTTCTCCATTTAAAATCATTTAGGTTTTGATAGCGTAAACTCCTGATTATATCCCTTTAAATTGGCCAGCTTTTAACAGATTGAAGACACGATTCTCTCCCTTTAAATCCGCTAGGTTTTTAACAGATTCCCCTCTCCTATTGACACGAGCGTCTTTTAATACATTGACACAAAAAAACCGTTGAAAAGAAAACGTGGGTGTCTTCGATATCTGGTGTCAATGCATGCGTGCACTCTAACATTCCGTCGCCCGCCTCGTTTTCGTTTCAGACACACCGACGCACGCGCGAACCACGCACAGGTGTGCAGCTACCCAAGCGCGACAACCCCTGACCCAACCCAACGGGATACAAGTGAACGCAGTTATGCGCCCCTGTGTTTACCCTGAGCGGAGCTTCGATTGTCTGGGCCGTTCCCCTCTGACCTTTCCAGTCGTGTTCCCACGGTCCCGAGGGTGGCTGTGACCAGAACGAGGGTGGTGGTGGTGGTGGATATGGGAGGGGGGAGGGGGGGATTATGTGGGGGTGGGGGGGGGGGGGTAGTATCGCTTTTACACGAGAACAGTGGCAGCTTGGGCCGTCGAGTTATACATTTTCATAAAATCATATTAAAAAAATTGAAGTCTGTACGTCAAATACTTCACTTTAAAACAACATATAACTCAAAGAAAGTTTAAAATTTTAAACTAATTTTTAAAATATTGAACAAGAATAAAGAAACATAAATTAAATGTTTATTATATATAATTACTTTTGCGCATTTTTATATGACATGTATGATGGGTTTCAACAAAACTAGACTTAATATAGATTAATTATCTGCAAAACAATTCTACTTATCGAAAAATCACAAACTAGATGTGATAAGGAAGCTAAAGCCAGCTTTTTTTTTCTTTTAAAATCCAGTGGATTAAATTTGTCATTTTTGTCTTCTTGATAACTTGTTGATGCGTATAGCTCTAGTATTGTCAAGTTACCCGTTCTCTGAGACTCTGAGATATACTGACAATGACAAGTGGATATAATGACAAGTGTATACTGACACGTATACTGACAAGTATATAATGACAAGTATATACTGACAAGTGTATACTGACAAATGTATGCTTACAAGTGTATACTGACAAGTGTATAATAAGAAGTGTATACTAACAAGTGTATAATGACAAGCGTATGATAACAAGTGTATACTGACACGTGTATACTAACAAGTGTATAATGACAAGTGTATACTGACAAAGTGTATACTGACAAGTGTATAATGACAAGTGTCCACTGACAAGTGTATACTGTCAAGTGTATACTGACAAGTATATAATGACAACTGTATACTGACAAGTGTATCATGACAAGTGTATAACTATAATGACAAGTGTATATTGACTCGTGTATACTAACAAGTGTACAATTACAAGTGTATCCTCGGCCCAAGTAAAATTCTATTGTCCGGTCCCCACAACAACAAAAAAAAAAACCAACCCGTACAAAAAGGTCAAAGGTGACACGTCAACGTGCGAACGACAACTCGGGCAGACAAGTGCGCTGAGTGACGTCATGGCCTCACGAGGTAGAGGTAAGTTTTACGTTGCTTGATTAAAAAAAATGTTCGCAGTGGAAGAGATTACCCCGCCCCCCCCCCTTCCCCCCTACACCAACAAAACCATCCACACAAAGGCCATGCAACACTACCGTGTACTGTAATAAAGAGTAGTACCTTATTAGGTCAGATGGTTCCTTTCATGCATAACTTCGGAGGAGGGGGGGGGAACCCTTGTTTAGATAAAGTGCACGTATTGTTGTGGTCTCCTAGTGGTCGTCTGTCTGTGATTGACGTCACGTTTCTTTAATGATTTTCACTGAATTTCACCCTCCCTATCTCAAAAAAAAAAAGCCAGACTCCCCTCCACCTTTACCAGTAAAATGACGTCACACCTCAGCCTAACTCTACCCCATAATTTCTTTACTAATTACTTTTTTATTTTTAAAAGTTATTACGTTTTTTTTTTCCAATTCGTGCAGTTGCAGTAGTTATAAACAAGCCTTGCAGTAATTTCCTACAATATTTATAGTCTTTCTTAAATCGTTTCCAGAACAATGGACACTCACAAGAATGTCGAAATGACACTAAAATTCTAAATATAAGGGAAATGTTTCTTGGAAACCACCTCTTCCCCCCCCCCCCCCCCCCCCCACACACAATCGGAAGTGTGATGTCATCTATGATCAACCACCAAACAGGAAATAATGCCTGCAATGTATTATTTTTTTGTATTTGCCCTTTATCATAAAAATATGATGTTACCAGCAGCTATAAATAGAATAATTTTTTGGATTATCTGAAGACATGTAGTCTTTCAATATTTTTATTATCGATCTTACTACCCTCTTCAAATTGTTACGGTTACAGATTTTTTTTTTCGAAACTCATTTTTTTTTTTTTTTGCAATTTAGTCTTTTTGGGACGCCTAAAACTAGAAATCGGGGACGGCGTGGCATAGAGGTAGAGCACTAGACTGCTAACCCAAAAGTCTAAGCTTACTTGTACTTATTTAACATACCAATGGATACCTAGTTTATTTTGTATTTATTCTTTTTTTTTATACAACTTGTTATTAAACTTTCCCCGAAATTTCCACATTTTCTTTTCCCAGAAAACATTATCATGTCATTGTTATGTTTATGTGTTTCTAAGATTTTTTATACAAGTGTCAGATAATAGAATCAGTGTTTCTTCCAGACTTTTTTCTCCGGGGGGGGGGGGGGGCACTTGAAATTTTCGGGGGGAGGGCGGTAGACTTTCTTCGGGGGGGGGGGGCGGGGCGGACACTGTTAAAAGTATATATTTTCTATATAAATTATATAAATTTCATTTCGTTCGGGGGGGGGGGGGGGCTTCTAACCATAAAACGAATCGAGATTACAATACTAACAACCCTACACACCTATTTTTGGAAGAGTCTATTATCCCTATCCTCAATCATTCCTATGTCTTCATGCAGAGTATGTACGGTAAAGGTCATATTTTCGATGTATCATTACTCCTACATAGCCAGTTTAAAATAGCGTGTAGGATTTCATTTTTTAACCCACCTCTACTTTATTTAAAAAAAAATTTACTTAGAAAGGTGAAACACGGACATAAAATAACAAAATAAAACAACCAGTTCGATTCAGTTGCATAATCATATTCTGTATTGTCAAGTTTAGCAATCAAATAAGGCAATGATAACAGAAAGCACATACTTTTGTTGTAAACATTACATTCAAAATATAGCATATAAAAGAACACATGTGTTTTGTAAAACAATACAATTATGTAGGCGTATATAAGACACAGCATAAGTACAGGTACTCATTTAAGCTGAGCTATCACCAGCAGCTCACAAAAATATTTTTTAAGTGTAATGCTGGGTAAAATATGTTCAATGCCATTTGCCCTAAAGTAGGAACTATGAAGTATGAAAGACTAATTTACATCAAGGCAAATGTTGTGAATTTTTTGGTCCCTCACAAAACAAAATGTTAGTACAATGAAAGAGTTAGGTCAAATTCAATTACACACACACGTTTTGTTTTACAACATTTCTTCCTCGGTATGAAAGCGTAGTGTTTTGTCATAGTTCCAAATGTGGTTGTCACACTTCTACAACAGCATGTCATATTTGCATCAATAATGTCAGAGCATTCACAGTTAGATTAGTCACTACAAAAATTAAACATATGTCAATTAATAAAAACTTGACGCCATTTTGTTATCAAGTTATATCAGTTTGATGTCACGTGATGTTAACACTAAAGAACCAACAAGTATATACATATTTACATATTCACAAATTTAAAAAATGGCAGTAATAATGCGAAACAATTTTTCATGTAATCTATAAGAAATAAGTATAAATTTGTATAAAACATTGGCACAACGTTGTTTTTCTTTTAAGAAATAATTTGTTGTAGCGTAAATGATCAAGTTAAAATGATCTTATTGTTTTTACGGGTTTTTGATTGGAATTTTTTAGTTCTTGTGATAAAATGAATTTCACCATGGCCGCCATAGACTTTCGTCAGATCGGGTGTGACGCCATTCCGAGGTGTAAAAATCACTGCGCATGTCCCGTCTCGCCTCTCGCCAGTCCGCGCACGCAATCTCGTTCTCATTGTGGGGGTAGTCCGATGATGGTACGTTCTTCGTGTCCTGTCTCCCCTGTGCATAGCTTGAGCCCGTCCACTCGCGACCCGACTCATGTCCAAATAGAAGTCTTTTTTTCAAGGTCGGCGGGGACAAAGGGTCGCCGTTTTGGCGGGAGTGGACACTTGCTTGTGCGGTGGCGGGTCCATTGTGAACGGTGCGCGGCGAGATTTGCCCGGCAGGGGCAAGGGAGATAACCGGTGATTGATTGCCGTGCTTGTATGGTTGAGGGCGATGCTGATTTGGCTGCAGGGGGAGGTAATCGCAGTGACCGCGGTACTGGCTATTTGAATGGCCAGTGTGCTGATCTGAGTAATTTGAACGTATGCCAACATGACCCGAGTCGTTTGGAGCGTGGGGGTCCTGGTGGTAGCAGGGTTGCCCGCCATTCGCGTACCGCGCGCTCAACTCGTGGTGGGGGTCTCTGTGTTGGCTAGGAGCGTGACACGGTTCTTCACGTGTGAGCGTGGGTGGGGAGGGCGTGGGGGGCAGGGCTGAATGGGTGACGTGGTGTCGGTGTGAGGAGTCGTGCACGTGCATCTCTCGGAGTGAGTACGCCTGTTGCTGGTGGCCCAGTTCTGATTCCTGGTGTTTGTAAATATAAGAGTAGGCGATCTCTTGGTTGAATCTCTCGTTCATGTAATGAGGTTCTTGTTTGAGGCAAGGGCTGGTAGAGATCTGGTGGTCATGGTAACCGTAGAGAATGGTGGGCGGGGCGTCGTCCATAGCCGAGGCTGAATTGTCATGATGGTAGATATGCTGTTGGGGGTAGGGCGGGGATGGCGTGGTAGGGGTGTGGGGGGAGTCGGGGATGTGAATATGTAAGGGGCGCTGGACTGTCCACAGGTAATCATTCTCTTTGTTGATGTCACAGTAGATAACTTTGCTGTTGTTGTTTTTGTCATTCTCGTGATGGTGCTGGTAGACGGGTTGCGGGGTGTGAATGTCAGGGTGCAGAGCGGGCTCGCTGCTGTTGTGGCGCTTTCGGTCTTCGTGGTTGTCTGTGAGTCTTGACCCCTCCGCCTCCAGGTTGGAGGGTGAGATGCTCTGGGACCTGGACAGTCTGGGACCCGAGAAGTTCTCACTGTAAACCTTCAGACCTAGTCTGCTGGCTGACACAGCTTGCTGGAACTGAGATTTGGGAGAAAGTTCCGGACACACCGCCACTGCCTGCGATGACTGCGCGATGGTCGAAAGAGAATTTGGTCTGGGGACTGTGGTTTGGTTGACCGTGGCCTTGACTGCTATGTTAGCAAGGTCAACTGCGGCTTGATAATGTCTGGAATCGTGAACCGCCTGAGATGGATTCGAACCGCTCACGTGGGAAGGAACTGGTGTTTCTGTTTTAATTTCAACAGGTAGAACAGACTCTGGTTTTGAACTTGGATTTGTATTTCCCTGAACGACAGATCCTCTCAATCGCTCGACCAGATGGTTCTCCAACCTTGACCTTACGTCTGGGGTGACACACTTCACAGCGTCGATGTACCTGATGACCTCGGTAGCGCACTCGGAGTACCCGGCACTGAACTTGGCGACCACTTCCGGTTGTTCTGGAGCCTGCTGGTGCTGGATGTGACGCAGGTATTTGACCGTCATCTCCAGGATGTCGGCTTTCTCTAGGCGAGACACCTGGGCACCCTGATGGCACCAAAAAAAAATATTATTAGTATCAGATTTCTGCTGGGGTAATTTGGACAACTTACAACTATAAAACTAAAACTTATCAAGATTTAATGAGCAGTGAAATATTTAATTAACCATAATAAAAACACAAAACAAGTTATCAAAAGTTTTAACAACATTAAAATTTGATAGGATAATGAAATACATTTTAACAATAAGGTCCATTTAAAAAAAAAATTATTAAAAAAAAAAATTAGGAAAAAATTGGCCTTTCAATAAAAAAAAAAAGGCCTTAAATTTAGAAAAAAAAAGGGGTATTACTAATTAGTAATTAATTAGAATGACCTACCTCTGTTTGCATGGCGCTGAGAATGAGAGATTTAAGCTGACCCAAGCAGCCATTGATGCGTGCCCGTCTTTTCTTCTCTACCAAAGGTTTGTTGGTCTGGAAGAAAAAAGAACAGTTAAAATTTATTTTCTCATGTCTTAATCTAGAGAAGGCACGTCTTTGTTTTATTATCATGGTATACATATTCAGAACAGGAAATTGTTGCTTTTTTTTTTTGGGGGGGGGGGGGGGGGGGGTGTTACAATACTTTATAATCCTATATTTTAGAATCTTGAACTACTGCATCAACTCTTCATTAAGAATCAAGAGTTGGTTTTGATATCACATTGGAGAAGTTATCGGTTTTGTTATCACATTGAATAGCTGGCACGTCAAGCACAATCTAACACAGTGATACTTGATAATAAGTACTCACACTCTTTTTTAACTTATAATTAGGCTACTTTAATTAATTAAATTAGTAGAAGACAACGCGGCTAGATGAAAATCTACAAACTAAAAGTAAACAAACATAGTCTATTTGTAAAGGTAGGTCAAAGCATTGATAAGTTATTTAGACCAAAAGGCCCACCTACTGTAAGAATGTAATTTGTAATTAATTACACTTACAGACGGTTTTGTTAATTAATAATTAGATCTAGTTCAGGCCTAATAATTTTTTAAATCCAAGTTTAATTTCAAGTGCAGTGAAGATGTAGCCTAACTAGAATATTTACTAGACTAGTAATTGTATGGTTAAATAAAATAAAAAATTAACAGAAATAGGCCTAGACCCTAATCTAATACCAATGTATTCAATCCATAATTGCTTAACCGTTAATAAAGCAGCCTGTTTAATTTTATTGGCCTAACTATTTACTATTTATGACTGGATAGGGGAACATCGTTTGCGTTTTTACTATTTGAACAATCTAGATCTATGTGTAATTTAGATCTAGATTCTAGATCTAATACTGTTGAATAAGCAGTAGGTTTAATCGGGAAAAAAGCTATTTTATAAAATAATAATAAAAAGATGGTTTAGTCAATTAGCCTTCGTAATTAATATTAATATGACTGAGTGAACTTTCTTGTAGGCCTACTACAGCCTACTAGGATCTAGTACTAGATCTAGTCAAGTTTCTTACTAACAGTAGACAAATAAAATACAAAAAGGCCCAAGTTAAACTAAGTTTTAAACTGTATTAAAAAATAGTTTCTAAACCACCAAAATCAATCTTGAAATAAATAAACATGTACTTACCCTGCGACCCGTAGAAGGGCTCTTCCTAGGGGAAGCAACAACAACAGGACTCCCCATACTGCGCAACAATTGTGTTCGTCTATTTATTTCCGAAAGGGCTAATGTATTGATTCTTAGAAACGACTCGTGCGCTGTCTCCACTGCGCGCCCCGAGACTTGCGTCCGTGTCGCGGTCCAGTCGATGACTGAATTGATGCCCGGCTCGCTCGCCCGATATATTAACCTTTGATAATGCAGTTTCCAACCCCCTCCCCTACCCCCCTCGACCACCCCTCCCCTCCTTTTTACACCCTCCGAATCGGCTCGCCCCGGCTACACGAGCCGTGGTATGTGTGAAGTTATCTCTCAACTCGTTCCCACGGTCCGGCCCGACGCCGCTGGCCAATCGGAGACGGGCTTACAACTGTCGGCATGCGAGCCGCGCGTTGCGATTGGCCCGCGCGACAGATGTTCGCCTGCAACGCGAGCCGCGTAATGGAATGCTAATGAAGAATTGCGGGGCTGGGGCGGTGTAAATATGCGCACGTGTCAGTAGTACTTGTGGACTGCCATTGTAAGTCAGGGTTTTAATTGTTTGTGGCTATCAGTTGGGGGGGGGGGGGGGGGGGGGGCGTGAAACTGACAACAAAAAGGGATGAGTCATAATTTAAAATAAAAAAATAAATAAAAGGCAATCCTTAAGGTAAAAAGGTGACGTAGGCCTACTATTCCGTTACAGTGTACCTCTTGGCTGTCAAATGGTATCGTTGAAATCAATGCGGAGATGAGTCGTTACATATTAAATAAACCGGGAGTGATCTCCCCTAAACTTTCTCGAATATTCTAAAATAAAACTACGAGGGATGGCAACTCAGGACATAGACAATATTTGTTATCCATTTTTTAATACTTAAACTTTTTTATAATAGAATAGAATCTCGTAAAAAAAAAAAAGAATTGCACAACAAGTGAACACCTAATAAAATGTGCGTAATAGTGCGGGATATTATTAGTTCTTCCGGTCAACGGAAATTACTCAAAATTTGATAGAAGGTAGAGAATTAGATCTTTTACTTACACGTGAAATTTCATTTATCTATCTGAAATAGTACTCAAGTTATAGGCTTTTGAAAAATTCAAAGTAGAAAAAGTACCACTTCCGCTAATCGGAAATCGCTCAAAAGTTGATCAGGATCTACGATTTTGATAAAATACTTACATATGAAATTTCATCAACCTAGCTGTAACGGTACTCAAGTTATCGTGTTTACACACAGACAGACAGACACACACACAGACAGACACACAGACATACGGACAAAATTGCAAAATTATGTTTTTCCGTATCAGTGAGGTGTAAAACGTCGAGATTTGTAAAAATCTCGATTTTTTTTGCACGATTACAAGACTTTCTCTATACGAGAAAGTAAAAAAAAAAAATAAATTAAAAGGCGGTCTTGAAACGGGAAGTAATTTACTTTGCCAATATATGTTTGCAGCAGGTCATTATCGATACAGGAAATCAAAAGAAAATGCAGTTATAAATGTGATGCACTATTCAGATATACTACGGTACCATGCGACCTTAAAGTTAAAGTGGCATGGAAAAATACGTATGTTGTTTATTATTTTTTTTTTGATTAGGTTTAATACACAATGCATCACAATATACAAGTAACTTACAATAGCGTAGGATGTTTAAAATAATGGATATTTTACACTAGTCTTATGGTGTTAAAATGTAGAATATATGACAATTTTTTGTCAATAGAGTGAGTTGATTCAACGTGTTGATTCAAGTTTGTTAAATAATTCTTTAAACTTTAAAAACATATTTTTATCAAGTACACAAAGTTGAATATTTTACCACGAACTTAATACATCACTGACAGTAGCAGACCGTTACAAATGATCCATAGTAATCCCCCCTTGGTTTAAAAAAAAATCTACAGTTCACTCCCCTTACACCTCAGTGCTTTGATCAGTGTGGGAAAATTTTCACGTTTTAAAAGTTAAAAAAAAAACACGTGTCTAAAAATGATTTACCATTTATAACTCTATGCTAAAAAGGAACATAAAAAAACCAGAGGTTTTATGACAAGAGACAGGCGCTAGGCACTGCGTTTTGAATAGACTTGTACCAAACAGCAGTAAAAGGTAACTAGAGTATCATTCAGGGCGGTGGGGGGGCCGAGACTGCACCGCAAGGGGCGTCACCATATTCACACCATTTTTAGAAACCTTTTTTTCACCCCAACCAGTTTTGTACAATAGGACATTGGATTTTTGGTTTTTAGTGTCTTTCTAATTCTTTTGATTCTCCACATAGGCGCTATATTTTATGTGCAGGCTTCAGTAACAAGGGCGTCAGGAGTCAATGGAGTACTCGTTAATGTCCAGATTTTTGTGATATATATATATATATATATATATATATATATATATATATATATATATATATATATATATATATATATATATATATATATATATATATAATCAATGGTCCGTAAACATTCAATAACATGTCGAATCATTTATTTTTCTCAAATACTGATTTAGACCTATACTAGATGAAGTAGAGTCGTTTTGTTTCGGTGACTTGAAATCAAAGTTTACTGCTCCCAAATAAACACTGTGTACTTAATGGAGCTGTGTGTGTACTCAAAGACTTAGGATAGTCTAATCAGAAAGATGAAAACGGTTTGAACTTGACCATTCGTGACCACAGCCTTAATCTGTGTGCGGAGTGGCGTAATGGGATTAGGATTAGAGGGTTGAGATCGCGTTGCCGGGAGTTAACCTTAGATTAGCGATTACGGCATGGATTCGTCTAATTGATTATACAACGCACTCACGTAATTATTTTTACGTCTTTGATTTAAAAAAAAATATTTCCCGACATGTCGGGTGACTGGCGAACCCCCACCCCCGGGTTTTTTTTGTTAGCTGAGGAATTTTTGCTCGTGCGTTTCGCGAGTTGAGCGGGTTGTCCTGTCCGTGGTGACAATCACAGTCCGAACAATGGGCAGCGTTCCTGTCGCGGGCACTGGCCTGGTCTCACAGGGCATGGGCAACGGCCCTGCTTTTGTGTTGTCCAGTGAATAGAGGAAAGTGGTCACGGGGGGGGGGGGGGGGTGGTAAGAGAAGGAGGGGGGACCCCCTTATCAACGCATAAAGATAAAAGGTGGGGGATATAAGAATAGACTTTTTTTTTCTCCTAGAGATAAAAGTATTATTTTCAGTCTTGGAATATTTTTTCTCTTAGACTTGGCGCGTACGTCTTGACTGTAACAAAGATGGGAGGGGGGATTTGTCTTTGCCGATGTAGGTCAAGCAAGATTTTCATTATGTCTGACAACGCGACCCCCTGTCACCCCCCTCTTCACCACCCCTCCCCCCACCTGTTCTGAATAGTTCTGGGTCAGCTCTGGTCATTTATAAAGTAATATTTTGTATAGCGTCTCCTCCCCCCTTTTTTTTGTGTGTGCCGTCTTGTCTATCATCATTATAATGCTTGAGACTTGTTAAGAAATGTCTTTGTTATGTGATCTTAGGGGCTATAACTCTCCATGATCTGGCATCCACAATTAGGTGGAGATTTCTAATGTCACCTTTGACCTGCGTTGGATTTTAAACTACGTAAGCGACGAATATCAAGCTCTAGAATTTAGCCTTCTATAATCTAAAGTCTTCAGTTTCGTAGGCTGGTCATCTAGCTAAATCTAGACACTTGGGTTGCTATGATCGCAGGGATAAGATATAATAAGACCTTATCAATAATTAAAAGTTCTAACTGTGATGGGTTTTTAACTTATTTGTGAACATGTTATTATGTTATGTAAGTTATGTAATGACATTACGTCATAATAATCCCGAACAACTTAAAATACACTTCTGTTCCACAGTAACCATATTTTAAGCTAAAAAATCTGAAAATCAAATTGCTAAATTCATCCCCCCTCCCCACGTCATGCATCGTCACTGACGTCATATTTTTAATCCACGTAACATCTCGCCACAAACAGAAACATCACACCTCTTTCCCCGTAACACACCGTCACTAAAGTAACCCCTCCTCATCACACGTAACACATTGTCACAAGTCCACGTAACACAACTCTCCCTAAGATGTTTTGCCAATATTTCCATTGATAAGAGAATGATATATTCCGGGTAATTAATATTCCTTATTACATTATAATGTCACATTATGTTCGTATAATCGCGTATTTTTCTATACAGAATTATTTGTGAAAAGTTGAGTTGTTTGACAAACGTATGCATCTAAGAGAAGTTATGCACTTTTTTGGTCATATTATCTGTCAGTGGTTACTTCCCCTTCTAATGAATATATTCTATTACGTCATGTATACGGGGAAAACACCTCTGATATCACCCCTCCTCCCGACTATAATTTCCCGCCCCTGAATGCACCTACTATTTGATTTTGTTACAAAAATAAAATATATTAATTTAATTAGTTAAATCGTATTACACGTGTGCAGATATCAAGTTCAATAACTTTTTACATTTTATTTTAATCTGTGAACAAAATGAGGCCAAATTTCTTGCTCTACTTTCTAGATCTAGTAAGAATTTTGTATTTCTGTAATGTCCAAAATAGAACTCTATTCATTGACCAACTCACTCCAGCTGTAAGGATTACCAATTAATATACTTGCAACTACACATCGGCTCCATAGCTCAGTTGGTTAGAGCGTCTGCCTAGTAAGCAGAAGGTCGAGGGTTCGACTCCCCCTGGAGCCTACTTTTTGTCTCATGCATGTAATTCTTTCATTTATTTTAAAATGTTGCTTTTAAAATGAAACACTTCTTATGAGCTTAAAACACAGCCGTTTTGTGACAGTAGGCCCTATTTGTCCATTTCACAACAACAACCAACGGTGTTAAATGCACACATTTGTACTTGTGTTTGGTTTTGTTTTTAGTGGTAAATACTTGGTCAGGTGGCGACTTACCATGTGGATGTGTTTTATAAATGACACTGCGCATTGCTTTGGCGATTATTTCATCACCCGCTCTTTCGATGGTAATAAAAAGTCAGAACCCCCCCCCCCCAGCCCCCCCCCCCCCCCAAAAAAAACAAGAAAAAAAAAGAAAAAAAAAACAATTATTAAAAATGTAGGCTTATAACACAGAAATAGCTGCTGCTCTTCGTGTTATGTTAAAAAAAAAGTAATGCTAAAGAATTTTGTTA